TTATATATATTTGAGAAATTATACCCCTTACTAAGATAATTTATTAGATTGCCTATTAGTTGCAGTTGACTTGTATATGACTCTGTTGCTTGTTCTTTTGTTCTTTTCATTTATTCTCATGCACAAATTCAATCGGTTTGATATGTTCATCTCTTGCCATTTTCTTGTCTAAATATATTGATGTATGTCATTTTCAGGGAAATGCCTTTATTAAGTGAGAACTCAATGAATTTTTTTTTGACGAGAGAAATACCCTAAAAGGCCACTTTTCTTTCACTTTTTCCAATCATGCTGTTACCAATTAAGTACGAGGCATGATATTTTCTCATATGAAACAAAGATGATAAATTAAATAAAACTATGAGACCTTTTCACACAAAATTAAGATAATGTTTTTGTTCGTATGATGATCTAATAAGAACCCTAATTTGATTCCACATCTATCGATAAAGTGCGTGCAAAACCTCTATCAAATCATCGACAAAGCAATCTAACTGTCTAAGAAATCCAAGACCGAATCCCAAAATTCTAATGAAATTCAATAACTACTAGATCAATGTCTTGTACAATATTTTTCACCGAAACAAAGGGGAAAACCTTGGCTAGGGCTAACCACATATATAGCATTGAGAGAATTCCTGCTACAATGAAAACTTTTCTAATCAAACTTTTCTAATAAAAAATAATTCCTAATGGGCTCAAATTTTCCTAATAAAAAATAATTCTTAATTGACTCAAACTTTCCTAATAAAAAGATAATTCTAATAGACTCCCACTTTGACTCAAATCTCTCTCGTTCTAATTCTTGTAAGCATGAATCATCCTTCCTCTGGTGCTCCTGCGCACTGTAGGCTCGGGAATAATATCATTCTTCCCTCCTTTGAGACTGCACTTGTCCTCAAATATAAACTTTGGAAACTGCTCCTTGATCTCATCATAATCCTCTCAAGTAGCCTCGTCCTTTGCAAAGACTTGCTAGTGCACTGACATTTTCCATACCCGCTCCCTAGTGCATCACTTCCTGATACGAGTCGTCGATTGAGCACCTTTGATCGTGAAATTATCAAAGGTGTGTTTGAGAAGAAAACAGTAAAACACACAAAACAATTCAATTGGCGAAGAAAAATATCTTCTCTAGATTATGAAAAATAAAAGATTACAAAATCTCTCTAGAATAAAGAACAACTTCTCTATCCTCTTTAAACTCTCATATGATGTTTAGAAAAGGCGGATCAAGGGAAGGCCTTAGATTCATCATAGCTACTCCATCGCTTCGAAGAAGAAAAGAATGAAAACTTCTTCTTCCGTAGATTTCTCCTTTCAACCTTCGATTCTTCGGCTTTGTGTGAGTCGTACTCTTTTTTTAATGCCTTAGGAGAGGATTCAATAGTAGCTGAGTCAATAGCTGGGGATTCCTTCTCCCTCAAAGCCTATTTTGATTTACTTTTGCCCTCGGGATTCTTTTTAGCATCAAGCCTACCCTCATATCAGGGGATTCAATAGCAGTAGCAGCCTAGCCTATTCATTCTAATGTCATGTCAAACCTGCAAACAAGCCATTCTATCAAAGAGCTTGGGAATCCTTCTTGGATTACCTATTCCGAAAGAGCTTTCACTCAACAGTCTGGCAACTATCAAAGAGCTTGGGAATCCTTCTTGGATTACCTATTCCGAAAGAGCTTTCACTCAACAGTCTGGCAACTACCTTTATTGGTCGAAAGAAGACTAGTTTCCCTTCTTCTCTTTGTCCAATCATTCCCTTTGAGAAACTCCTAGCGGCAGAGTTAACGGCCTTGATGCGACTGGTGTCCCTTTCCGTCTTCAGCCCCCATTGGCTTTCTCCTCGGATATGAAGTTGTGGGTTGCTCCTGTATCAACTAGGGCCCTAGCCTGCTGGCCGTTTATGTTCATATCCACGTACATTAGACCCTTAGTGGCCTGCTTAGGACTTGCAGGCTGCTTCTTCACAACGTTTAGTAGCCTAAGTGCACCCATCTTAGGCTCTTCAGGCTCCTTTTCACTAGCTCCTTCGCCTCTTCGGTCTTCAGAAGTGCATTGAGAGCCTTCCTCTTAGGGCAGTCCATGGCCCGGTGCCCAACGGCTCCGCAGATGAAGCATCCTGCACTCCTGGTGGTAGGTTGTTCCTTGCCTTTGCCATGGAATGACTTCCGTCAGTCCATGGAATGACTTCCGTCAGTCCTTCTTCCTAAACAATCCATATTTATATGTTAAACAATATGGGTGACAAAGTGGTAAATATCTAGAACAAACCCAACTAGGATTCACTCAAAACAAGAATCCAACTTGGCCTAGGAAACCGTTATCGGTCGACTGAAGTATCGCTATCGGTCGACCGATCGACCTTCATCGGTCGACCGATAAGAGTGAATCAGTCGACCGGTCAGAAAGAAATTTCCAGACCCTGTAATCGTGCTGTTGTCGGTCGACCAAGTCATGTTCGATCAGTCGACCAACCCGAAACTCCTGTAATTGCTGGCGGTCGAATCGGTCGATTGATGATGGCTATCCGGTCGACCAATAAGCATCGGTCGACCGATAAGGCTTCATCGGTCGACCGATAAGGCTTCATCGGTCGACCGATAAGGCTTCATCGGTCGACCGATAAGGCTTCATCGGTCGACCGATAAGGCTTCATCGGTCGACCGATAAGGCTTCATCGGTCGACCGATGTTAGTCCATCAGTCGACCGGCCAGAGCTATTTCATCAGCTTCTAGATTTCTACCATTTTCCTGATTTCCATCGTTTTCGTCGACTCTTCCCACTCTTCTATTCTCAAGCAATTATGAGAATTATCTATCCTCACGCTCCCATGAGGATCGCTAAGTTCCCGAAGCAGAGAAGATACACTCGTATCATGGCTTCCCCTTTAGGAACTTGAAGTCTCATTCAAGTTAGAACTTCACCTGAGGAAACTCTCGAGCTCCTCATTCTTTGTTGAACCACTTGGCATTGCTAGGTACCTGACCTTGACGTCCAACTAGAAACGTCTCTTTCTTCCCCTGTCTAGGCCTAGCCACCTTCCTCTCCAAAATGTAATCCTATTTCAATGGCTCTTTTCTATCAAACCACAAGTCTTCAACATGCGGCAAGATCACTTTTTCATCATCCTCATTGTCCAGCAATGGAGGCTCGAACAACTTAAAATACTCATAATTGATCATCGAATACATGCCTAAGTAAGGTGAAAAATTCAGCTTGAAGGCGTTGCCACTGATTTGATCAATAATCCGAAATGGATCATATCGTATAGGCTTTAACTTCTTTCCTTCTCCTTTTAGCCGCTCCTTACCAAACTTCAGCCACACCAAGTTACCTTTGCCGAAATTATAAGGAACTCGATGTTGATTATGTTTCGCCTTGTACTTCACTTGTGACTTCTTCAACCATGATTCAACCGTTGCGTGAATCTGCGCAATCTTCTCCAAAAACCACCGAGTCCTCTGTCTTTCACTCCCTTCTTTGCTGTCAGTCATAGCTTCACTAGAGAATACTAAATCGAACAGACTTAGAGGTAAAAACGCGTAACACGTCTCAAACGCCGATTTTCCTGAAGATCCGTGAATAGCCCTGTTGAAAGCAAGCTGAAGATATGATAAGCTCTCATCCCAAGTCTTGGGATACCTGAAATTATACCCCCACAATATATGAACCATAGTTCGGTTGACTACTTCTGTCTGCCCATCTGTTTGTGGATAAAAGGCCGTGCTTTTCTTCAATTTGGTGTCCATCAAACTCCACAAAGAATCCCAAAAACACCTGAGGAACATGCTATTCTAATCCGAAATAATTGAACTCGGCAAACCAAAATGCTTCCACACATGCTCAAAGAACAACTGCGCTGCACTAGCTCCCGTCACGGTCTTCTTACAAGGAATCAAGATCACCATCTTGCTGAATCGGTCCACCACAACGAACAAGTAATCATGCCCACGCTTGGTCGTTGGCAACCCTCCTAAGAAATCCATAGAAATACTCTCCTATGGTCTCGAAGGCACTGGCAACGGTAGATACAATCCCCTCTTTCTGTTAGAAAGCTTAGATATGTAACATAACTTACATCCTCCAACATATTTGATAACATCCTCTAACATCTTAGGCGAAAAGACATGGCATTGTAGATTGAGAAGCATCTTCTGAATTGTAAAATGACCTTACACACGTAATGTATGCACACCTCTAATCCACTGCAACCGATCGCCATCCTCCGGAATGCAAAGCAATGTCCCACGATATAACAAACCATCCGCTCTGAGCTCTGTGACGCCCCTGGTTTCAATAAGGCTGTAGTCTAAGGTAAAACCAAGAATGTCAAACCTATCATGCACCACACCGTGCAATAACATGTTTCACCATCAAAGTAAATATCTATCTAGTGGAATCAATAACCAGTGTAGGTACAAAACAGACAAAAGAGAAAATACAGAAGTAATATAAAACAACAGATACTCTGAAGAAAAGTCATCATCACTGACATAAATGAATAAATCTCTGAGAAGAAAACATCTGAACTAATACAACTGTCTCACAATATGAAATCAAATGAAGTATTACTAAGGCACATTCACCTTTTTCAAAACTAGAAATAATATCTCAAAATATTTAACAAAATACATTTACTGTGGAGTTCTGACATAACTACTAACACTGTCTATAAATAATGACTAAAGCAAATCCATCAAGCTACAGCTCTTCGTGTACCTGGCTCGTTACCTGAAAGTGGGGGAAACAACGAGCGTCAAAGCGCTATAGCGAGTAACATCTCAACCAACCCCAGGGGAAAGGCTAGAGGGATATGAAAATAATTGTTAATACATATAGATAATCAATCATAAACTCTAAAATAAAATAGGAGTTTGATATTTAGGAATTTACAACATGTGCGTGGGTAACTCAGCAATCCCATAAGCTCATATTGTAAATAGCTAAATGCCCAATCCAACAACTACGTGGAGTAATAACTCCA